GTGCACATGCTAGGCTGCCACTCCACCAATGAGTCACATCTCCAGACCTGGTTCAACCTATTCAATTGATACAAGGTCTCCCTGCCCAGGCTGGCCTAGAACTCCCACCACAGAACGGGCTGGTTTTGAAATTATAATCCTGCTTCCATCACTGACTGCAGACCAGTACCTCCAGGCCCTGCCAAATTCTTATGCTTGCCTTTAAAATCTTGATGAAAATGACGTTTCATATGTAGTTACTGCTTTTCGTCTTTTACTTTTATTTCAAAATACCAGGATTTGGCCGGTTGTGGTGGCGCACGCCGGTAGGATTTGCTGAAGGAGGCAGAGGCAGGAGGATCACGAGTTCAAAATACCAGGATTTGGCACCATTCTGCACCAAAAGATATTTTCCCGGTCTCTTAACCACAGCTAAGATAATATTCATGCTCTGTGATAGAAGTAATAAAGAAAATATCTATTCATGCTGAGTCACACTTCCATATCTTAAAAACAAGCAAGAGAACTGTACGAAGGCATGCATGACAGCAAGGAGCAGAAGGATAGTTCTGCTGACTTCTCTGAGAAAATTTGGCCTCAGTGTCAGCCTCGTGGGGGGCAGATGGAATGCTGCTCTTGGAAGCAGCCATCAGGAGGTGCTCAGAGTTTAGGACAAACTCTTCAAACCATCACGGCTCCTTGTGGTCTGGTTTTTATATCTTGTGAGGGTTTATTTTTAATTTTAGAAATTTCATTTCACTTGAATTTACCACTTGTAAAAATTGAGAAGCTGACAGCTCTGGGAAGCGAAGCTATCCAATTAGTCCAAAAACACCCAAATGTTTCCGTGGCATCTATCATCACAGAATACCAAAAGGCCCTCTGAAAAACATATCAGGTTAAGAGAAAAACATGTATTCAGGAAGGAAAAGCTTCTTGGATGCTTAACGCTAAAGACACAGATTTGATATTAGCTGGTGTGAAGCAGGGGTCTTCAGAGAGTGCCTCCAGGACACATCTAATCTTGTTAAACAGAAGGGCTCATTTATGTTTTGAATATGCCTACAGGGTATAGTCATCTTTCTTCGCCTGGCAGGTTCACAACTATGTGTTATAGACATATTTAGACTGGCAATTATTCAGTCTATTCCCACCATATTTTGTTGGGTGTAACAAGACCCAAACTGTAAACGGATGTTTGCCTCCATGTGAATACATAGGGAAGACAGGCAACTAAAGGGTAGTAGATCCTATCCTTGATCGGTTTCCTAGGCTCCCAAAGCCACCTTTGGAGTAAATAGAGGATTGTAATCTGCCTATGTATATGACAAATTAAAGGTTATGGGTATCATATGAATGGTACAATTATGAAATACTGCATTTTAATTAGTTAACTGACATAATGATCTCTCCAATAACATTATATCAACTGTCAAGTTCAACACGACAAAGACTGGCAGTAAAAAAAAATAGTTTTATTTTATACTTCAAAAATCTTATGCGTAACATTTTAATAATACACAACTGAGAAAAATAGGGAGGCACATTTTTAAATTGCTATTGCTTAAGGTACATTCCTAAAATATGAGAACATTTATCTTATTTTGACATCTTTCGCACCCAACTCACAGTAAACCTGAAGTCCTAGGCCTGGACAAAATGTGGTATTAAGCCTGTACTGAATAGTGGAGAGGGTGACACCTACTGGTTACCTGGGAAATCAAGTCCTTGATCCATGACGCACTGAAACTCCCAGTTACTTACCTAAAATAAAGGTATTTCAAATCTATGCTAGTACGTTAAGTATTAATCTTACTGAAAAAGTTGTCTTGGAGCATGCCCATTAGTTCAGAAAAGCTAGCGTGTGTTTTGTGTGTGTGTGTGTGTGTGTGTGTGTGTGTGTGTGTGTGTGTGTATGTGTGTGTGTGAATTTTAAACATATTCCTGTGTCTTTAAGTAAGGAAGGTTGCACTCTTGCAAGGCCACTATCAGTGGCAGATTATTAGAGGAAGAGATGAGAAAGTGAAAATTAAGTCAGTTATATAGCACCATCATTTATTGGTAGTATGGTGTGAAAAAGTCTAATCTTACCCAGCAATTTGGAGTGTCACATATCTTAGTGTCTATTTTAGAATGTCTTTCCAGTTCATTGAATAAGAGTTTTTTTAATTTGCTATTTATTTCTTACAGTTATGTTATTATTCAAAAATTCTCTGTTGTTCTCACCTGATTCTTTTTCCAAAAACATGTTTAATATTACTTTGTTAGGCACTTCATATTACATTGGGTTTTTGCTTGAATCACTATTAAACAAAGATTTTAATTTGGCAAAAGTTGAAATGTATAAAATATTATTTTACCTGTAATTGCTTTATATATCTAAATCGTATTTGGCATTTCATTGGTAAATCAAGATATATCAGGGATGTTTGTATGAAAACTGTTACTTGGGACTTTACATTTTTGATACAACAAAAATAAAATAATTGTTTATATGATTATATTTTCACATTTGAGACTACCTGTATATAGGCATACCATTGTTTTTCATGGTTTTTCTGCCCTTGTCATAAGTAGAATATTGTCATACGTTTCCCATAGAACGTTTTTTGTTTTCTTTAGTTGCAATCAGCAGCTGAACTAAGTGAGTGGTGTCCCTCAACTCTTCATTTTTCTCTCTTATTTCTGAGGACATTGGGTGAAACATAGTTATGTTTCATGTAATTACTAGATCTTTTTCAGATTTAATGGTAGCCTCCTCTGGATTTAGCCGTTTTAAATATATAACTATGACAATTTTCAAAAAAGTTATTAATTTTTTAGAATTTCATTCAGTACAACAGTCATATTTGTGTCCCTCCCCCAATTCATGTCCTCCCTCACTTCTCTATTCACTAACTTTATGTATGCATGCTGATTCTCAGAGCTCCCCTTCTCTCCCTTCTCTTCCCCCTCTATGCCCCTCTCTCTTTGTGTTATCTCTCCTCTCTCTCTCCCTCTCTTTTTCCCTTTTGTCACTGTTAATCATGTTGATAGCATAGTCTGTGCTGATTTCTGAATTATGATATGAATTGTATTCAATTTACATTTCAAAAGTTTCAATTATCATATTTTTCTTAACTTAAGAATTTTGTATATTGATAAGTTATATAATACTGTGTGCTTCTGAATTTTTGAAATAACACCCATTCTATGCTTTCTTGTATAATGTTAAATTCTGTATCTAAACAGTTACCTTATATTAAAAACTCATATTAACCTGAGGATATTGGCAAATTTTCTTTTAATTGATGTCCTTGACAAAACTTTCTACTTGGCATATGCCTAAAAGCCTTATTATACTGTGCTTACCATTTGAAATTTATTTCATATTTGATATTTCATTAGGCATTTCTTCCAGTGCATTTAAAATCGGTGGATGATAGAAGGAGAGTGGATATATAAATTATGAAAGGTGTTTTAAGTGTTATTGTGATTTAATAACTGTTTTAAAAATTAATTTGCATTAGATTTTTGGTACAATTATTCCTTTTACAATTTGTGATTTTTGTCAGTATATAATAACCCCTTTCATTTATATAAGAACTGTTGATGTTATTATTTAGAGTTCTCTTAAAAGTACTAGATTATGGGCTGGCGTTTGCTTCACATGCAGGAAGACCTAAGTTCAGGGCCCCAGATCCCGTGGAAATGCTGGCTAAACACTGTGGCCTGGTTGCTGGTCCATCACTAGGAAATGGCAAGGAGGGATCACCAGAGCAAGCAGAGTAAGCTACACTAGACATATCAGTGAGCTCTGGGATCAACTGACAGTCCTTGTGTAGATGGATAAGGAGGAGAATGATCCAGGAAGACACTGAGCTTCACCCTTGGGTCTTCTCATGTGAGCAAAGACATTTGTACACTCTCTCTCTCTCTCTCTCTCTCTCTCTCTCTCTCTCTCTCTCTCTCTCTCTCTCTCTCTCTCTCTCTCTCTCTCCACCCATCCACCCCCCCCACCACCCCCACAAATATAATCATGGGATTATATTTCTTTCAGTCCAAAGGAGTTTGAACTTGAGTATTTTCCTTGGCTTAACTTTAACTTTTTGTTTGTTTGTTTACTCTCCCTTTGGCCTCTTTTGTAGCTGTTTCATTTACTTTTGTATTTTTATTGTCCTGGAATGAATGTATGCATCCTGCTTAATTTTTGTTAATAGTTTCTCACAATTTTAAAAATGCCTTCGAACCAATTTCTTTATTTAGAATAGCAATTATTAAATAGAAACAGTGGCTCTTACATATTAATTTTGCTTCCCTTCCCCTATCTTCCTCCTTCTCAATCCTTAATAATTTATATAAACTTAAAACCTGTATATATCCATATACTTTTTTCAACAAATTAGTATTTTTAAGATTTTGTACTTGGGTTAATTTAATGGTGTTTGGAGAAAGAGTTTCCGTAACACACACATACACACACAAAAATTTAAAGGACCCAGAGACAGATATTTGGCTTCAACCTGAAGATCAGGGAAGCAAAGCAGCCAAACTACCAGAGAGCTCTTACCTCTAACAGGAAGGGCGTTCTTATTCTCAAGGTGACTGGACAATGAATGCCCCTGTCTTCAGTGTGGAGGGAGAATGAATGCTCACTACCGAGACCTTGCTCTTGTCTAATATACCTCTCATGAGTCCTGGGATTAAGGGTGAGCTATAATTCTCTTTTAGACAGATTCACTCATATGTAGATCTGGGTAGCCTTGAACTCACAAAGATCCATCTATCTCTTAATTCTGAGTTCTAGGATTAAAGGTGGGTACCCCCACCTCCTAGCTTTTGGCTGCAGGGATGAAAGGTGTGCACCTTGCTTCTATGGCTTGTGGCTGACTTTGCTTTCCGAATACTCTGGCAAGCTTTAATAAATCATTAATAATATATCACTACAGGTCTCCCTTTGTAGTCCAGACTGGTCATGATCTTGCTAAGTAACCCGGGATGGTCTTGAACTTGACAACACCTCCCCTATATTTGCCTCTCAGGTGCCAGGATGGAAGTCATGCATTGCCACTACTAGCTTCATAGTCATATTTTTCAAAGGATGTCAGAATACTGCTATCACAGGTAAGATCCTAAAAGTAGAAAAATATTCTCAAGTTGCCCCATTTTCTTGTACATTGAAACTAAAATGAGAGTGAATGGGATTAGTACAGGATCTGAGCACTCGGTTCCAGAGAATGACATTGACATTCTGTGCCTGGCAGCAGAATACCGGAAGACAGAGGGAGGATTGCTGTGGGAAATGTGTACACTGTGAAAATGTACTGCTGTGATTGGTGTAATAAAAAGTCAAACGGCCAATAGCTAGGAAGGAGAGAGAGCTGGGATTTCCAGAGACAGAATGCTGGGAAGAAGAGAGGCAGAGTAACCAGCCAGTGTACAGGAGGGTGGGTGGTACACTGTAAAGGTAACTTATCCACGTAAAAGAATGTAGATTAAAAAATATGGGTTAAGTTATAAGAATTAGTTAGGAGCCAGCCTAAGCTAAGGCTGAACTTTCTTTTTCTTTTCTTTCTTTTTTTGTACGATTTAAAGTCTGGGAAGATATGGATTTCTTTTTTTATTACTTTAATTTTAAATAGCTTGCTTCACATGTCAATCCCAGTTCCCTCTCCCTCCCCTCCTCCCGCAGTCCCCTACCATGCCCCCCAGCCTCCCACTCTATCCCCACTTCCTTCCACACAGGGGATATCCAGAATCTGTCATTTCACTCAGGGCAGGGTCCAGGCACTCCCCTAAGAGTCCAGGCTGAGAGAGCATCCCTCTTTGTGTTATGGACACACAAAGTCCGTTTGTATGCCAGGGATAAACACTGATCTACTGCCCAGGGCCCCATAGGTTGCCCAGGCCTCCTCATTGACTCTCACACTCAGGGGGTCTGGATCAGTCCCATGCTGGCCTCCCAGCTGTCAGTCTGGGGTCCAGGAGCTTCCCCTTGTTCACCAGCCCATTCTTTGCCAATTTGCTCATCGCTCCTCTCTCTCTGTCACTGGGTTCCATGGTTCAGTGTTTAACTTTGGGTGTTTGCCTCTGCTTCCATCAGTCACTGAATGAAGGTTCTAGGATAGCTATAGACGTCAAGTTCATTATCAGGAATGGGCATTTAAGGTGGTCTCTCCACTATTGCTTAGGTTGCCAGTTGGTGTCATCCCTTTAGATCACTAGAGGTCTCACTGGTGCCTGATCTGTCTTGTAACTTATGGCTCCCTCTTTTGAGATCAACAATTAACAAATGGGGCCTCCCGAAACTAAGAAGCTTCTGTAAGACAAAGGACACAGTCAACAAGACAAAACGGCAGTCCACAGAATGGGAAAAGATATTCACTAACCCCACATCTGACAGAAGGCTCATCTCCAAAATTTACAAAGAACTCAAGAAGCTAGTCTCCAAAACACCAAAGGATCCAAATACGCTGAACTTTCTTAATTCATGACAAGTCTCCGTGTCATTATTTACAGGCTGGCAACTGATGAGAAACTACTGCTCCAGAGGATGACATTTATGACATGGTGCAGAAGCCCTGGAAATAAGCTTCTCCTCACCAATAATGGAAGTGCCTGCTCAGTGGGTCTCTTTGTGTTCCCTGCTGTCCTCTGTACCCTTTCTTCCTTCCTCATATTTCTGAGAATAGTCACCCACTATTGGCTAATATCTATGTATTCTAGTATGGTGGTTCTTCACTTAATGGTTGTGGCCTCTTTGAGGGAGGTCAGATGACCCTTTCACAGGGGTCACCTAAGACCATCAGAAAACACAGATATTTACATTATGATTCATAACAATAGCAACATTACAGTTATAAAGTAGCAATGAAAATAGTTTTATGGTTGGGGGATCACCAGAACATGAGGAACTGTATTAAAGTGCCACCACAGCATTAGGAAGGTTGAGAACCACTGGTCTAGTACACCCAATTTTTAAAATAACCAGAACATATTCTGATTGCTCAAATAACACGAGACAGGCTTGGTGGCTTCTAGGACAGTTTTTTTCATTTTTAGATTCAAGTTTTTTCTACGTTTATATTTAGTGCTAGGGACTGTTCAGTCCAAGGCTTCACACAGACTTAGGTAAGCACTGAGCCACTCAAAATCTCAAGTCCAACTTTTCTTCTTGAGACTCTAAGTTGCCTAGTCAGTATGTCAACCCTCAATCCTCCTGCCGCTGTCTTCTGCTTAGCCAGAGTTACAGGCCTGTGCCACTGGACCTGGCACCAAAACCATTTTTTTTCACAGTTCTGGGTCTTGAGTTCCAGTATTAAGTTGGTAACACTCTCAGGTATGAACTAGGGCTCGAAGCCAGAAAGAGATCTTGGCTAATGGATGCTGCCTCTTCAGTGTGCTTACACAGACTTTTTGCAGTGTATGAGTAGGGATGGACTTTGTCTCCCCACCAACTCTTCTGTCTCCTCTACCTCCTCATATTATAGCCTCCAGGCTTATCAGACTTGCATCAGTTCTGCTGCCTGTGGTCTCTGGCCAGTGGCAAGCTGCTGTTCATTCTGCTAGTGTTTGATTGGCCTTCCATCCCCTAACCTCTTCAGCCTCCACCTCACCCCCACCATGTTTGGGTTGCTTACAGCCTTGGGCAGTATCTAGCTCAAGGAGAAACCCGTAAGTAATGCTGGGTAAACTGGATGAAACACACAGAAATCAGATAATCCGTGGGGAATGAGGTACCAAGAAATTTTAGGACAACCAGGAGCCAACTCCTTGACCACCAGGCTTTTCATGTCCCTGGCGGTCAAAGCCACAAATATGTACCAGTTGGTGTCAGCCCAAGTCCCTTCCAGAAATAAACAGTTTGCAAATGAGTAAAAATTTGCCACAAAGGATTTTACTCTGCAGTCTGACATCTGGGACATTGTGCTGTGTAGCTATGCTGCCCAGAGGACAAATACTTCATAAAGAAGCAGAAATCGCTATAGCAAAGCTGCCGGGGGTCTTTAGGGAATAATATTAGTCTCCCCATGCAGTCTTTCCTCATAAAAATCTCTTTGCAGTAAAGGAGGCTTCATGGTGATAAGCATGACTTTAATAGATTAAACAGGGAACCGTGACCCTTGAATTTAGCTAGAAAATAATAATAAATTTTAGACCCTAATATGATAAAAACATTTGATGTGCCCTTTAAGAATATAGAAACACAAAAATGATCACCAGACTAATTATTTTCACCATTTTTGTCTGATATTCGTGTGCATCAGGGGAAGGGGGAAAGATGGAGGGGGTGGGAGTAGGTGATGTGATTTTAAGCCACACTTTTCTTTCAGGAACATACTGAACTCAAATGCTTTGCTCTTTTCTGATATAAAAATAATGCTAGACCTTTGATCAACAGCTTTTCACAGGATGCTAAACATTTGGGGGTGAAATGAGACATCCTTGCATATACTTAACAGAGTTGCTCTTTTAGAGGGCCTACAAGGATTTATTCTTGATGCCTAAATTGCATACTAATGTCCCAATTAAAAGCTCACGGAATTGCCACATTAACAGCCCTTTCTCTTCCCTCTCTGGAAGGCTCACTCTCCTGTTCTTCTGTCTCCTAGTAAATTCTTCCTTCACAGGACATGCCTGGGTTAAGACTCAGCCCTTCTTGCTCCCCCAGAACCCCTGGCCAGTGTTGTACAGGTGGCGGTGGTGTAGAGGGTGTTTTGAGTGTTAGGGACACAAGCTATATGTTGGAACCCTTACTATACCCTCAACACATGCCCCTGCTGCAGTTCTCATTCCTACTCTATGCTAAATCAATTTCTGAGCAAGCAAATCAGGGTAAAAACACCCCGGCTTTTCCTAGCCACAGAGGTTGAGGAGAGCTTTGCCTCAGCGGGGCATGCTGTCTGTTTCTATTGACAGTTCAAAGGTTCAAGTAGTTTTAATATAAAATGCTGTAGTCTTTTTTTTTTTTTTTGGTTTTGGTTTTTATGAGACAGGATTTCTCTGTATTGTTTTGGAGGCTATCGGTCCAACCCGGCCTCGAACTCACAGAGATCCGCCTGCCTCTGCCTCCCGAGTGCTGGGATTAAAGGCGTGCGCCACCACCGCCCGGCATAAAATGCTGTAGTCTTTTAAAAAATCTACTTTTGTGCTTTTCTATTTCCATTTACTGTTAATATATCATCTCTATTTTTACAGCCTATCAGTAACTTGCATGCAATAACCTTATTCTTAAGGAATGGGGAACAACAGTAACATTATAGAGAAAATCATTTAAGAGTCAGCCCATAGTCTAGGATCTACTAAGTACACTTGTATATAAAATGGAGTTATAATTAATATCATTAGACATTATTTTCTGGAATGGACAAATCGACTGACTGTTGGTTGCTACTTTTCAATTTAAGTGAGTTCTGTGTTAGCATCTTTCCTTGCAACTGAAATATTAAATAAGTACAAACGCTCTGGGGTCAGAAGGCCACTCTCACTGCACATTGAAATTTTAGCTAATAAAATGGTTTCTAGTGACATAAAAGAATTGTAATTATGCTTTTCGTTTTGCAAACAAAAATAACAAATTACTTCAATAGTTCTTGTCACAATACGGATTATCTACTGTTATAGCCTTAAGATACATCAGGAAAGGTATTATGCAGAGTTTCTCAAATAGAGGGTTAGCATAAAGATTCAGGAATAGGCAAGTGTTCTTTTTCCATCATTGCCACAATGACGACAAAAATCTTGGACAGTTATGGATACTTCACAATGTGGACACATTCCTGAGAAGATTTACCTTCATTGACAATTGAGCTAACTGTAATAGTTCTGTTACTCAAATGCCTATCATTTGGATGGAAAGATCATTGCAATTTAAAAGTGGACTCATATTAACTTTTCCATACAGAATGTCTTTTGCATACCTTAAATATAACTTTATTATTTTTCATACTTACTGAATATAGACAAAAGATTGCATGAACTCTCCAAAACAGACTGTGACATTAGATCAGAGTGGCAAAAAGAGTGTTAAATTTAGACAATCAAATAGCCCTGTTTCAGGGTTTTTAAACAACCCTTGCTAGAATTAGCATGAGAATAGTTGGCTCTCACTTCATCACTCATATTATAAGAGAGTGTTAGCTAGTCCTTGCCTTTCTTTCCCATGAGGATCTCTGAGAGACCAGTGAATGGGAATCATGGTGTCCTTTGCTTTTAACAGAAATCCTTTCTCTATAACTAATTCAACGCATGGCTATATTGGTAATTTTGAACAAGTGGATCTTTCTCCAAACTGAAAGGCTGCCAGGATGGAGAGGGAGTGAGAAAAAGAGAGTTTTAGAAGGAGTCCAGGGAACAACAAAGAAGGCATGAAGAACCAAGGTCTTGTCTGATTCCCCAACAGAAGTGTATTGAGGGGTTGTACGACACAGCAGGGACATCCTTACAGTAAAATATGACACTTTGTACAACAGGTGGAAATGACTTCATCATCAGAAAGCACCCCCGGCCTCATGCAAGTCAGAAAATGGAATTTTAAGCATTATTATTGCCTTTTCACCTTATTACAGAATTTCATGTTGCATGAAATCTGAAATCTAGAAGATTAAAATGAAAATAGGAACTGTCATCACAGCCTCATAGATCACATTTAATGAAAATCCTTTTAGACAAATATTATACAAGTGTATAAATGGATAGTTACTCTAAATTTAGATATGACTATTTAATTGAATCCAAGGTGTTGGAATAAATTCTTTAAAGGGGCTCAGTCTTCCAGCCCTGTGAAATTCTGACAACTGGAATACATCCTGAGTCATATCAGAAGAGTTACATTGCAAAAACTAGAGAAAACACTGATCCAAAAATGACATTTAAAATGTTTTCAGAGTGTTAAGGCAAAGGGAACAAAAACCTCAATGAATAAAGACAGTAACAGTGATTATTCAATATGATTGTTGAATTTTAATAAAAAGATAAAAACTGGACAGATAATAACTATGAGTATTGGTTCTATTGGTGAGGAGTGGTTCTAGGGTAAAGGCAGAATCCCTGTTGTAACATCAACCTTGGGCTCACAGGGTCACTTACTCCTCAATGTAGACATTTGGTCTGAGATTCATTCAGAGTATATTCCTTGTGTAATGTAAAATGACAACAAGATGTAAGTCAGCCTGAGTCACAAAGAGAAATCTATAAACAATACATTTCCTGAAATTGGAATTCTATAATAGAACCTTAATGTTTTCAACACAAACCTCTTTGATATATGCTAGGCTGAATACGATGGTAGCAGGTGATAAGCTAAAAGGTGATAAAAGAAGCAAAAGCAGGGGACAGGTGTTTTTAAATTCATTTTGCAAGCATTTTATATGTTTTTCAATATGCAAATTTTATAGTAAAGAATGATCTATAAGTGGAGTTGGAAAGAAAAAATATTTAAAGAACCAAGAAGAAGAAGAAGGGTAAGGAGGAGGAGGAGGAGGAGGAGGAGGAGGAGGAGGAGGAGGAGGAGGAGGAGGAGAAGAAGAAGAAGAAGAAGAAGAAGAAGAAGAAGAAGAAGAAGAAGAAGAAGAAGAAGAAGAAGAAGAAGAAGAAGAAGAAGAAGAAGAAGAAGAAAAGTTATTAGAAAGGTTATTATTATTATGGAGGCTGGAGCAATGGTTCAATGATTGACACTTACTGTTCTTCCACAGGAAGAGAGTCAACTCCCAGTTCTGACATGGTAACTCCTAACCATATGTAACTCCAGTTTCAGGGGATTACATGCCCTTTTATGACTTCAACAGGCACTAGACAGATGTGCTCATGTGAGTAAAACACTCATATATAT